AAGGATGCTCAAAATTGGTATTTATCAATATTGGGTGATGATCAGAATGAAGTCTAGTAAGATTTATGGTTTGAAGGTTTGGAAATAAATTTAGGAAATCTAAATTGAGCCAAACTTTCTCATTTTCTGTAAACTCTCCATGAATTACTTAATCCGTACTACTGATAATATTAAACTTCAACTGACTAGAGTTTCATAACACAATCAGAGCTCCACGGGGAGACCTTGGGCTGGGATCTCAAAATAATCCTCAAATTTCAGACTTTTCTTTAGGGATTTGCCACTTGCTTCTTTCGCCTTGGTTTTCATTAAACAAAGCACACTTGGTTTTTCGTCGCAAATTAACTCCTTGAAAATTCTAATGAACTCCCTGTTGCCGATACCCCTACAATTTCAACAGATCATCTTCATATCGAAATTGTGTTTTCTATGGTGGTGTCATGAATCTCAGGTATAACACTCATTTTATTTGCTTCCGAGTCATTCTCTATATCAGTGAGTTGCTTGTCTTTATTTATTTCTCTAATATTTTGAGCTAATTCATCATTATCAATGTTCATTTCTGATGAATTAGCAGTTTCTTGATCATTGTTTCTTGGTTGATCAATGGGATGATTTGTCTCTTTTTCCACTACTTCTATCGTTTTACTCTGACCTTTCTCATTTGTACCTTTGGGTTAGATATTTCTTGAACTATCGAACTTACCCTTCATCGTTTTCCCTTTCTTTTGCAGATGACTCTTTCGTTGTAATTCAGTGGCTTGGCTATGGGTTAAAGCGTTTTTACCCTTTTTTCGTAAGGCTTCTTCTATTGAAGTCTCAGCTTCAATGGAGTTAAAGGTCTGTTTTGAGGTGCCCTCCTCCATCTGTTCATTTTGAACTTTCCCAGGATTTGGGTTTATGACTTCTGTATCCATGTTGGTTAGGCTTTCGAATCTATTTTCAGATTGATTTCCTTGCTGATCATATCTTTGATATCTTGTATTTCCTTTGTAGCCTTTTTTTCGTCTTTGAACGAACATCCATGGTCCAAAATTCCCAGCCGATGATTCATTATCTTTAATAATCACATCAGAATTTGGTTCTTGCTCTTTATTTTTAGCCTCTTCTTGGTTTTCTGGTATCTTTTTTTCACTATTCTTAGTTTCTTCCATATGTGATATGGGGCAATTCGACAATTTATGTCCCACCAGTCCACATTTGAAACAGATCTCATGAAGGCCTTCATACGCGTTTGGTTCACGAAATGTAAGATTATAAGTGAGAATAAAAGATTACCAGTGAGAATAAAAGATTACCAGGGAATAGGATTACTGTGAATGTTACATTACTGTGTTTAATTGGTTTGGTAGGAATGTAAGATTACAGTGTTTAGTTGAAGGAATAAAAAATTACTAGAATGTATATTTTACCAAATTGTCCTTGGTCTATATTTTTTAACAAGTGAAATTCTAAATATTTAAATAAAAATTATTTATATAAAAATTCTATATGTTGAAAATATATTACTTGAGTATTTAAATATATCATATATTATTTTAATTTTAATCAATATTAAATTTTACATAATTTATGTAAAAATATATTAAAATTTTACATCAACATTTAACTAAATATTTACATTGTGGAAACTAGCTTCGGTTTATATGTGAGGCATTCACTGTGAGGTTTTTTGTATTTTTCAATCGACAATGTTTACATTCTTCTATATACAATAATTTATCATAGATATTCATAATAATAAAAAGATGTAAATTATTTTTGTTATCTAAGATATAATATTTATTATATCTTCTATATACAATAATTTATTTATTTATCTTTTATATTATATTTAATTTTGCATACTTTATCATTATTATTTATCTCATGAATTTATATTAAAAACATACTTCAAATAAGTAAGAAAATATAACACTAAAAATATAACACAAAAATCATATTGTAGCTTTTTCTTCTTTTCTTGTTTGTTCATTACCATGTTTTGTCATGTCGTGGTTACAATGTGATTATTCTTTCAAGTGAATCCAAGACTTACCAGCACCAAAAAGTGATCTAAATATCATCACGATGGAGATTTTGGACAAAAAGGGTCGGGTTTTGGGGATTCATAAGTACTTCACTTTTATTACCATGAATGATTAGACGACAAACAAAGATAATGGGCATTGGGTTATGCATGAGTTTTCTTTAAAACACAAGGATTTGAATGATCAGGTTATTTGCGATATAAAGAATATAGATGCAAAGAAGAGTAACGATGAAGAGATTAGTTTGGTTCCTAAGATTTCAAATTCGGATGACGACTCCAATAGTCAGATCAGAGACAGATATGCTATGGATTTGGATCTAAACCTACACCCGAAACCAAACGATGAAGAGAAACCAAACAACGGTTCAAAAGACGATGTTTGGAAGATACAAAACAACAATGGTGTGAATTCATATGATGAAGAGACGGGGCTCATTCCGCAGCTTTCTTTAAATCGTGAAGATTCAAATGACGACGGTGACATTAGTTACAAGCAAAGAAACAAAGATGTTGCATGTCGGATCCTAAACCAAAGAGTGTGTTTTCCAATCAGAACCCAACCGAAGATAATTGTAATGCACCTAACCCACAAAATCCCAAGCGAATTGAAGATACCAGCAGTCCCCATTTAGAAAGACAAGAATCAAATATTACTAACGATTCTCCTTGGCAGATTTTAAGCAAGTTTATCGACGAAGCAGGCGAAGTAGATCATGAAATATTATTGAAAGGGCTTGACTGGACTTCTAAGGATCTGGGTTAAACACCCGAACTTCGTAGAACTATTCAATTTAGTCATTTTTAGTTTAATTTTCAAACTCCACTATGAAATCCATTAGGCGTCCAATGATGTTGGCAGACAAGATTATATTCTTAGATCACAAGCAGGATCTAGATGCAAGCAGAGTCTAGATGCAAACTTTTTATCTTAGTTCTTTTTACGACATAGAATGCAATGCGATAGAATAAAACTCACATGATCTATGTTTCTCAGACTATAGTCGTGCCCAATATATGTTCGGCCATTAGTATGAAGATACAACTCCAAATGAAAGTGACAAGCTCGAATCTGAATAACATAGCACATGACAAGCTCATACCAATATTATGGCCTCAACAACTCAGCTAATCAAGATAAGAGATAAAAGCAATGAAATGGATATAAATCGGAGGATTTTCAGAAATGGATATAAATCGAACGATATTCAGAAACGGTAAACTATACCAGATGATATTATATATAAATCTTAGGCCAATCTCCATCTAGAATTAAATATAACAACCTAGAAATAGATGGAAAGGAAATATATGTCCCATCTAAAAATATATAATGCCCATAAATACCTGGTCTTATTGGCATATATAACTCATCAATCTTTTGATGTTGTCGAGCTGACATCAGATGAAGCATCTATGCGATTGGGGGATGCCATGGAACCTCTAACTCTTGTGTCCCTCGTCTGATGTTACGGCTGATCATGTTGTTGGTCCAGTTGATGCGGCTGGAATGGATGCAGATGTTTCTGCGATTGAATCTGAAGTTGCTGAAATTGTTGTGCATTCATCATTGGTCCACCATTCGGCATAGGTTGGCCAGTCATTACTTTCAGGTGCTGGATTTCCTCTTTCAGTGCATCGTTTAATGCTATCAAACAACAGAAAAAAAGATAAGTCCATCAATATGGGAAACAGTGGAATTAGCTCAAACATAACCTCGGTGTTCATAGTAGAACATGAAGCATTTATATTCATAACTGATATGCAAAGCCAAAAGTTGAAAAAACCTAGATCGAGAGTCACTCAATAATATAGGAATAATAAATTTCATTTATGTTCTGAACCATGTAATCAATTGCATACAGAAGTTTATAGTCTAGCCAAGAAAGAATGGTGTTGAACTTGACCAGTGTTTTCAAAAAATATTTTGAAGAGTTGCTCACCATCTTACAAATGAACCTATTACTCCATTGTTTGCAACCGCAGTTTCAACTCACTATTTTTAGTCATCATATCATTGGTGTCTCTCTGCTCATAAATTACCAGATAAGAATCAGATCAAACATTAAATATAAACAAATTAAAAGAACACAATAATACAAGTTGCAGTCAGCAGTGGCTTAAAATAGTTGAAAATGATCTTATATGTTCCATATTTGTGTGATGAATCAAACAAGCAGGAAGTTCAGTTTCTGAAAGGTGTTCAACATGTTGATATGTGATCTAACATGTGTCTTGAATGATTGTCCTACAGACCCCGTCCATTATTTCTTTCAGGAAAGGATACATTTCTACCTTTCTTCAAATCTTCAAAAGAGGTATGAGATGACAACTAGCTGAGAATTTGAATTATTTTGTTACTGGTTATTTAGCATATTTGGTTTCATATATATATAGGAGAACTTGAAGTCAGTAACAAGGACAAGAATTGTTCATTTATTTTACAGAAAGATGCATACTTGATGTCATGGAAAAGAGTTTGGGCAACAGATTTTATAGGAATAACTTACAGGGAAGATAGTTCTATATGCATAATTGATATTATTCCCTAATGTTGGATGCATAACTGAAACTATCCCCTAATGCATAAAGTTTAGAAGAGGTGAAGCGACTTTATTTGATATGAGGCCTCTCCAATTCTCTCTAACATATTCTGCAGTAGCATCTCTAGAACTAACTGAGTATGATTTACCTAGAGGCCTCAACATTAAGAAGTGTTTTTTATATAAAAAAAAGAAGGTTGAAGGAATGATATGTTGCATGTCTAACTTAAAGATTCTAAAGCAAGACAATTACTGTGGAAGAATTAAGCATTATTCGGTAGGGTCTTTTGTTCAAGATCAAGAAACGATGAAGTCTATTAATGGTTGTTGCATTACATTACTCGGCCAAATCAAATTTAAAACAAAAACAAATACAAAATTGTTCTGAAATTGTGAATTATTGAGGTAATTGTCATCATTCTTACAACATAAAAAATTCACTTCCCACTGCTGTTCTTTCTCCTCTCAGTGTATGCCTTCAAAGCCTGAACCTCTGCAAAATAAAAAAATTAAGGGGAAAAACAGAAATTTAGGCAAAGAGCCAAGTTAATTAAGTGGGTTTTAATAGAAAAGAGAATAAAATGATTAAAAGCATACCCATTTGACAAGATTTCCAATTTCTGTTGCTCTTAACAAGACAATCCTGCAAAAAGGAGAGAAAAAAAAGAAGTTGGGGTATAACTAAGGTTTAGAGTATGGTTCAAAGAATAAAAAGAGAAGGGGGGTTTTATTAACTTGCAAGGATAAGTACAGAGCAGAGCATTCCTTCAACTGCTTCACGTTCTCATCGTCATCAGCGGCGGCGGCTTCGTGGAGTACCACAGAAGAAGAAGTCTGTTGGAGAAGTGATGGAATCTCCTCGCAAAAACTCTCGTCAAATTGAAGAAAAGAATATTTTGTTTCAGTCAGAAGCAAGCGGGGAGAAGGGTAATTTAGGCAGCTGAGACGGGAATAAGCAAATACATAAGGGAGATGGGGGATTAAGATTCCTAGGAAAACAGAAAAAAATAGCACTGTTGGTATTGGTTTTTTACTGGCATTTGGGAATGTTACATATCCAAACGTGGGTATCTTAGTCTCGAAAAAAAACATTCCTCCCAGGAATGAAAGATTTTGTGAACCAAACGAGGCCTAAGATTAAACTCTTTTACTAACCTTAACTTTGGCGAACAACGGTTTGTTGAAGTCGATTTCGACGCAAATCCTTGCAAATCTTCCTCTAGTTGACCAAGCTGTGTGGAAATCGATCTTTAAAGGAATCCCTATTAGTTTTCCAATTTCCATGAGAATCACTTCGTTGAAATATTCAATCGGCAGTACCGGAATATGTATCCAAACCGTCCTAGGAGCTATGTTGGTTCTTGCTGCCATAAAATTGGGTCTCCACTTCTGAACCGTCACATAATGATCAAGAATTTTCCAAGGTCCTCCCATAAATATTTTAAATTTGTATTGCATATTTTGGAACTTCACCGTATATAACCCATTCCCAAGATCTATACAATCGAACATCTATGCTTCACCTGAGATGACATGTATCTAACATTACACCTTGAATCGTTGATGGTCCCAATAGTCCCTTGGTCGGGTCTTATCTCAATGGACTCTTATTCAAGTCAACACCTCTACATAATTCAAAGTTAGATTAGAATTTTCCATGCATCCCGACTGAAAAGTTACGCTGAAAATGAGAAGAGGAAGCGAAAAATGAAATTTGAGATCGAAAATGAATTTGGGGTTTAGAATGAAATTGAGGACTATTTTGCAAGTTTTAAAAGTTGGGGGACCTAAATGTAAGCGCCTGAAAAGTCTATTGACCATATTGTGAACGTACTATTGGCAGTGTAATGACATCAAACGATCGGTTACGTCGGAGATCATATTACAAACGGACTAAATATTGAGAATTATATTGTAAATTTTAAAAAATTGAAAGACCTAAATAAAAATTAAAAAAAAAATTCAGTGATCATTAATATACTTTATCATAAAAATAACTAGGACCAATCATTTAACGAAAAGATATATAGATAATTGAATGAATGATTATACCAATTCCATAATTAATTATACTATATTATATAGGTGAAAAAAGTCACCATCCGATTGATGTGTCTAATCATACCTAACACATCCATATTAATTAATTTTGGTTTTTCCCATCAAATACGAACAGCAAGCTGCGGACGTTTATCACATGACTAAACACCCATTTCACTCACAACCCTCACCGCCTTAGGTGCACGTGTAGGCAACTTATACCTCTATCAACTATTTTTTTTTAATATGAGATTAATACTGTTTATCCAAAAATTTTATAATGTTTATCCAAAAAAAAAATTATATTAATTATAGAGTTTAATTGTTTTTAATACTTATTATTAAAATTTATTTTTTATAATATTTAATATTATAAATTTAATTTTTTAATATTTATTTAGAGATTTATAATTTAGTTTTGTCTAATATTTATATAAATACCTAATTTTTTGTCGACATTTTTTTAATAATTTTTATTAGAGGCTCAATTTTTTTAATAGTTGTTTCATGGACCTAATTTTTTGATATTTGTTATTAATAACATACTTTTAAAATTTAATTCATTTTCTAATATTTATTTGTTATTATTATGAGTCATATATATTTATAGTAATTCTTATTAGGGATCCAATTCTTTTCTATATTTGTTATTATAAGTATAATCTTAAAAATTTTGTTACTATAGACCTATTTCTTCATATTTTTATGTAGCTCTCTTCAAATTTAATTTTTTAACTCTTGTTATTAGTAACAATTACTTAAATAATAGTCTCCAAACACAACAACAACCATTATTAACGGTATGATCCCAAACCATAATATCCATAAGTATTATGTCCATAATATTATATATTATTAAAAATTCACAACCACGATATTTATAATGACCACAATATCATTTATTACGTTTATAATAGCAATAAGTACAACGTACCGAAGATACAAATATAAACTATAATTTAAATCTCTTATAGTCTAATTTTTTTGTTCCCAGAGGACCACTCAAATCTCAAAAATAGGTCTAAATAACTATTTAAAGATAAATTTCAATGGTTTAACATGACGGATTTAACCAATTCGGATACCCCTAAACTACCTTTGGAATACATACACGTGGCCTCAAATCCTAGCGAGTAGAGTTCCTCCACACCCGCGCAAGTGGAAACACACAACCCTCTTTTGATAGGATAGCTAAAGCAACTATATAAAAGGACCCAAACCACATGCTCGGAATCAACTAAAACGCCTTCCTTCTTCGTCTAGATTTTTTTCCCCGTTTTCTATCATCCTCTTTGTGAAATCCAAAAATCTGCAGTTTTTCTTCCCGTTTTCAACAGTATCCCCCGAAATATCAGAAGCCGGCGATTAAATTGGTTCTTAGATTTCGATCTTTATTTTTTTAATGCTGCCGGTGGGTAAACGGGGATAAGGATAGAATAGGTAACGGAAAGGAAATCGCATGAGCTGTTTTGGAAATCTGGGGTTTTATTCTTTGTGTTCGTTGAATTCTTCCAACCACTTCATCACGTGTCTCCTGATTTTTATTCTTCATTACTCCTCTCAGTTACCCCCTTCCTTGTTTAATTTCGAAATTAAATCCACTGAACCTTTATTAAATCATAATCCTCTCTTAAATCCCAATCTGAATCCGGATTTATCCTTAATCCCATGGAGTCTTCAGACAAGATTAATCGCCAATTTAACGAAGGTTCGTTGTTTTTTTCTCTCTTTTCCTCTCTATTTTTTTCTGTTGTATATTATTGTGTTTTCATTCTCATTCTTATGTCGGTACTCTTTTTTAGAAAAATGTTTAATTAATCGGAGATTCAGCTTATCTGACACTGTGACTCAATTTGAAGACATGCGATTATTTTATAAAATAAAGTGTTTGGTTGTTTAAGTCACTCCAAGTGTAGAATATTATTTATGTTAATTATTAGCTTTTCCTTTTTTCCCCTAATCGGCAAAGCTTTAGACTGAAGAAAGTGTATCTAAAAATTATGGTGAAAATTTTGTTTAATTTACGTTTTGCATAAAATTGGTAATGCTATGGAGCATACTGATGCTGATGAAATAAGGATCTTATTCTTTTTTTTTATTTAATGTCTTTCCTTCTATTTATTTTTTTGTTAAACTACATTATAGACCATTAAATTATGTTCAAAAATCAATCTAAAATTTTAATTGAATCAATCATACCACCAAACTATTTAAATATTTTAATTAAACTACCTGTTGGAGGTGATAATGTATCCGTTAAAACATTTTGGTATAATTCACAATTGATCATTATAACTTAATATTATTTTAATTTATCATAATTTTAATAAATTAAAATAAATTTAACATCGAATCTAAAATATCATGTGTCATTGATGATATATGTTATGATACATGTCTTTATTCTAGATGATTAAATTTATTTTAATTTATTTTTAATTTAATATATTTATTGTTCACCCTCTCTGATTAAAATAAAATAAATTCGCACAAAAAATGAATGAGATAAATTGAACCCAGGTTGCTTATTGAAATATTAGAAATCAAATCATTGAGTTAAAGAATTATTTAATATGTTTTGGACAAACAAATAATATATATGTATTGTATTTTAACATATAAATATTTTATTCAAAATTAAATAATATTTTATATATCTTAAATTTTAAAATTATCTTTTATTTTTGTTTAAACTTATTAAATATATTTTATTTTTTCTTAACTTATTAAATATATTTATTTTTATTTTAATATAAAAAAATATTTATCATAATTTAAAAACACATTTTTTTTAAAAATATTTTAACTTAAAATATATTTAAATATTTTTTATCATCACTTAAAAATATTTTTTATTTTTATTTTAAATTAAAAATATATTTTATCATTATATAAATTTTTAAAAATATATTAAAATATGTTAACTTCAAAATGTATTTTAATTTAAAAATATAATATAATTAAAGTTAAGATATTTAAAAAAATTAAATTTTAAAAATTAAGATAAAATAAAAATATATTTTTATATTAAATTAATAATAAAATATTTAAATATATTTTTAGTTAAGATATTTTTTCAAATAAATTTCAACTTATGATAAAAATAAAATATATATTTCTACATTAAAATAAAAATAAATATATTTAATAAATTAAGAAAAAAAATAAAATATATTTAATAAGTTAAAACAAAAAAAATAATTTTAAAATTTAAGATATATAAAATATTCTTTAATTTTTAAGTAAAACATTTATATATTAAGGTACAATATATATATATATTATTTGTTGTCCAAAACATATTAAATGGCTACCTTAGATCAATAGTTTGATTTCTAATATTTCAATCAAACAATTTAAGTTCAATTCCTCTCATCCACTTTTTGTGCGGATTTATTTTCTTTCAACCAGAGGGTGACACATGTCATCCTCTGATTGGTGAAAAATAAATCTATTAAATTAAAAATAAATTTAGTCATTCAATCGAATAAATATACGTGTCATGACATGTGTCACCTATGAACGTGACACCTCCTAATTCGATGGTTAAATTTATTAAAATTATGATCAAATTGAAAGAATATATAAGTTATAAGGATCAATTGTGAATTATATCAAAATGTTTTAATGGCCACACCACCACCTCCGTTAAAAATGAACGGTCGGTGGTTTGATTGAAACATTTAAATAGTTGGATAATCTGATTGATTCAATTGAAACTTCGGTGATTAAATTGATTTTTGACTATAGTTTAGTGGTCTCCCGTGTAGTTTACCTTTATTTTTTATATAGGAAGTTTAGCTTGAGCTTAGCACAAATTGAAAATAATAATTTAATAAAAGAATTTTTCTGGTTACTGTTTGGGAAGATGTTTGCTATCCAAATGGTGGGGTAAGAAGGCAAGCAAAATCACCGTCAGTCATCGTGATTGGGGCTGGGATGGCCGGAATTTCTGCTGCTCATGCTCTCCATGAAGCCTCAATTCAGGTAACAGAATCCTCTCTGTCTTCTCTATATCTCATGAAGGTTTTCTCTGTTCTATTACTATTTTATATGTATAGCAGTCTATTTGGTCATGGGCTAACTTTCTCTTGTCCAATGATTCTTGTTGGCCCCTTCTTCAATATTTGAACTTTTAAGCGTTTGGTGGGAGCTTTTTATCTTTGAACTTTATGTATCATTTCTTATAATTTGATAGAGTTTAATTGTCTGTTTAGGTTACGGTGTTAGAATCCAGGGACAGGATTGGTGGTCGAGTTCATACCAATTACTCATTTGGTTTTCCTGTTGACCTTGGTGCTTCATGGTACACTTACTGTTTTCCCTTCTTTGTATATTGAATCTTGTTTCGGTTGTAAGAATAAATTATGTCTGACTAATATGTCCCAAAAAAAACTCTTCAGGTTACATGGAGTTTCCAAAGAAAACCCCCTGGCACCATTGATCAGTAGACTTGGACTCCCACTTTATCGGACCAGTGGTGATAACTCTGTGCTATATGACCATGACTTGGAGAGGTGAGAAGCATTTATTTGAGTGCCTAGACTTGGATACCACATTGTGGTCAGAATATTTTTAATGCTACTTTTTACTCTTTTTTCCCCTTAATTCTTTATATTTAAACTTTTTGTCTATTACTCAAGAAAAATCGATCTTGTTTTATTGAAAGTTTTTACTCTCAAGGAATGTTCTTATTTCCATGATGACATTACACATTTCCCCATGCTGAAATGGTTGTTGTTTTTTTTGGTTGATATCATGTTCTTTTTTTAAAAAAATTGACCTTTGCAGTTATGCACTCTTTGATATGGATGGTCGTCATGTTCCACAGGAGTTGGTCACTAAGGTTGGAGAAGCATTTGAGCGCATTTTGCAAGAGGCAAGTGATGTATGTTGTTTTATTGGTTCATTTCTATCTAGTGGTCAGCATTGAGTAAAAAACAGAACTTACACTTCTTTTTTCCTTTTCTTAGAATCCTAGAACTGTCATGATGATGTTCTGTTTCCATCTGATGTTGCTGCCCCTTTTTTCTATATGATTGCAGACAGATAAAGTGAGAAAAGAGCTCAGTGAAGATATGTCTATAAGTAGTGCTTTCTCAATCGTTTTTGAAAGAAGACCAGATTTAAGGTCTAACTAAACATTACTCTGTTTTTCAGTATCTTATTCATCTCTTATTTTGCAGCTTTGAAAAACTGTATATTCGAAATCTCTTTGTTAATCTACAGGTTGGAAGGGCTTGAACATCAGGTACTTCAGTGGTACATATGTCGAATGGAAGGTTGGTTTGCTTCAGATGCTGATACTATCTCACTTAAAAGCTGGGACAAGGCAGGTTTTATTTGATTTGTTCTTGAGCCTTTAGTGGTTCATTGACTTGTGTTCTTTAACAAATTTATTCAATGGGGCACCAGAATCACATTTAGTGGAGATGTGTCTTCTTACGTTGACGATAGGAACTCAAATGCATGATAGAGGTCTAGAATGTTATTTATTCGATGAATGAAAATCTTTCAAATCAAAATTAGGAAAAGATCCTAGTTTGTTTCACTCCCCCTTCAACACATATTTTGTGACTCTGGCTAATTCGTACCTGTTCTATATGTTGTTAACTGTATGGCTAGAACTCCTTTTAAGTTGCTTATTATGATGCTCCTCAACTACGTTGGCTTGCTTTCTGTGCTTTCACTTTCTTCTTACAACTTGCTGTTTACATGTTCTATCTTTAGGAAGAGCTATTACCTGGTGGTCATGGACTCATGGTCAGGGGCTATCTTCCCGTCATAAACACTCTGGCCAAAGGTATTGACATCCGCTTGAACCACAGGTAATTTAACTTGAATAATTAGTTTATCAGTTTGTATGTACTGTAGCATGTACGAGTTTATCTGCTGAGATCTATTGTTGTAATGGATTTGTCCTTAGGGTTAGAAAAATAGCGAGGTGTTACAATGGAGTGATGGTTACTGTGGAAGATGGAACTACATTTGTAGCAGATGCTGCTATTGTTGCTGTTCCTGTAGGTGTACTAAAAGCCAAGACCATCAAGTTCGAACCAAAACTTCCTGAATGGAAGGAAGCAGCAATTGATGATCTTGGAGTGGGAATTGAGAACAAAATAATATTGCACTTTGGCAAGGTGTTTTGGCCTAATGTGGAGTTTTTGGGAGTTGTTGCTGAGACATCATATGGTTGTAGCTACTTTCTAAACCTTCATAAATGCACGGGTCACCCTGTCCTTGTGTATATGCCTGCAGGGCAGCTGGCGAGAGATATTGAGAAATTGTCTGATGAAGCTGCTGCAGAGTTTGCTTTTATGCAACTGAAGACAATCCTTCCAGAGGCATCTGCCCCGGTGAGTCAATTCCTCGGATCTACAATTCTGTTCTAAATATGTTGGGTGCTCCTGGCTAATGTGGGCGATTCATAAGGATGCATCAATTGCATTCATTTGTTTAGGTTTCATGCGCCAACGATTATAAATACTATATGAAGTTGGTTTGTTTAAAGCATTGCATTATTCTAAATTTAAGTTTTTGCCATAATCTTCAGTCTATTGCTTTGTCCTTGCATGTATATGAATGAAATCATAATTGGGTTTGAAAATTCAATTGTGATCTTATTAAATTACAGTTGTCTGATGCTTTCATTTGTACTCAAGGTTGTCAATCATTTTATTCAGATTCTATACTTTCACCTTAGGCTTCCAAAGGCATTAACTAAATGTTTCTTGAATCCACAGATTCAGCATCTGGTTTCTCGATGGGGATCAGACATTAATACACTTGGTTCCTATAGCTTTGATGCGGTAGGCAAGGCCCATGATCTGTATGAGAGGGTAAGGGTCCCAGTGGATAATGTATTCTTTGCGGGGGAGGCAACCAGTATGAGCTACCCAGGGTCCATTCATGGTGCATTTGCAACCGGGCAGATGGCTGCCGAGGACTGTAGGATGCGTGTACTCGAGCGATATGGAGAGTTGGACTTGTTCCAGCTGGTCATGGGTGAGGAAGGAAGATTTTATGTCCCGCTCTTGATCTCTCGTTTGTAAGTACAAACCCTGGTTCCAAAGTAAGTATATGTAGGTGATAGGAGTCGTGATCCCAATATCAAAGATGTTCTTGGTCAGTTTGACGTCACTTTGAAGCTTTAGCTAAATATTGAAATGAGATCCGGACAAGTATAACTAGCATTAGTGGTAACGTTAGGAGGATTTCATTAAGAGAAAAGTATATAGTTGATTTGGGGAATGGCTTTGTCAAAGTGTGTTTTGGATCATGAAAGGAGCAATGCCTCAACCACTACGCTAGTGGGAGGAGGGATGGACACTGATAAAATGGTGATATATACATATATATTATTAAATATATAAGCAGTTGCTTTATATTATTCTCCATTCCGTGTATAGGGTAAGAAATCTTAAACGAGGCTCATGTTTCTGTTTTAGAAATAAAGAATTTTATTAGAAAAATTACAATCTTAAAAAAAATAAAATATCAGGCTTGTGGAAAAGCACTTCCAATTATTTAAAAAAATATATATGCATTTCTATATATATTTTAAAAAAGAAATCTTTCTCTTAATATTTTACCCGGTTCAGTTTAAAAACTTTAAATCTTGAGGGATTGATTTGTGCATTGAACCGACGGGTTCAATATGGTTTAGGAAAATAGTTGAAGAACTAGATCAACGTGTTACATGTTTGATGCATGGGTTTGGTAGTGAAGAACCATGCTGCTTGGTCCAATAAAGTGTAGACAGTAGACACATATAATGGTATAGCAGATTATTTTATAAAATTCAGAGGCTAAAATGTTTGTGTGCGATTGATCATAAATTTTATTTTTTTATAATTCTTAAGTTATATATTTGATTTAGTTTATTTTATTTTATATATTTTAAATTTTGAAACTTTTGATGTAAATAGTAATCATTAAATATATTAATTTAATTTATGGGGCGTTTGATTCGAATAAAAGATCATTACCAAGTATTGACTTATTACCAGTAGTAGTATTTTTGGATTAAAATGGCGGGAATGACATTACCTCTAAATTCTTAGGTAGTGAACAAGTCTCACCGCTTTGAACATAAATACCCTTGAAATAATAAAATTTTTATAATTTTTTTGTACTTTACTCAAAATTATAAACTTAATAATAATAATATAAAAATAGTTTAATTTAATAAAATATTTATAAATTTGAGTAGTTAAAATTATTTTATATTTTTAATATCTTTTATATTAATTATTTTATAATTTTATGAGTTGAAAATTTTATTATCATAAAAATATAATTATTTAAAATAATATTTAATTTTGAGTTATTAAAAAATAGATCTTATACATTAAAAATTAATATATTTGTCCACTCAACATGACAATATTATTTTTTCATATTAAATTATATTTTATATAAATAAATATGATACTGATGAAAATTATTTAAAATTATAAATTTGATAAACTAATTATATTAATTATATGTTAAACGTGTTTTTTTCTTTAAACTTAGATAGTGTAATAATTAAAATATTTTTATAAATTTTCATTCAAATATTTATAATTTAATATTAAAGTCTTACTTGTTAAAAACTATATATCACAAGGATAATTTGGTAAATTAGGTATCCAAGTAATCTTATATTCCTCCAACTTAACACTGTAATCTTACATTCCTACTAAGCAAACCAAGCATGGTAATACAACATTCCCAGAGTAATGTTACATTCCGGTAATCTTATTTCCAAATGTAATCTTACATTCTATGAACCAAATGCACCCTTAAGGTAAAATACACAAATGGTCCCCTGAGGTACTACTTTATCAAGTCCCTTGACTATTAAAAGTTTACAAATGGTACTCCGACTATAGAATGTTGCTTTATTGAGTCCCTTGACTATCAAAAGTTACAAAATGGTCACCCGACTATTCATTATGTTCTAAACTTGTCATTTTCCATTAAAAAAATTGGCGGTTTTCTAAGTTAGACGTTAACATGATGAATGTAATGTGATATTCGTTTGAGATTATGAGATTATATTTTATTATATCATAGTCAGCAAGTTAACGTTCAGCTCAAAATAATGTCAATTTTTAACAGAAAATGACGAGTTTGGAACATAATAAATACTTGGGTGACCATTTTGTAACTTATGATAGTCGAGGGACTCAACAAAGCAACACTCTATGGTTGGAGGACCACTTTGTAACTTTTAATAGTTGTGGGACTTAATAAAGTAGTACCCTATAGTCGAGGGACCATTTGTGTACTTTACCCTTTAATTTATACTATTAGTCCATGTATTATGGGTTATTAGCGGATTTAATTTATATTCTTCAATGTGGTCCTTTTAAGTTCATGTAATTTAATTATAGTTTTCACATACCATTTTAGTCCAAAACTATATACAAGATCCAAAATCAAATAAATTAAATCATAATGTCTAAATCTACAATTTATGTATATTGTAGGAACTAGTGAAATTTGAACATTTTGATATATAAAAGGGGTAATGTAACTTTTTGCTCCTAAACTTAGCAACTTGGTCCATTTTGGTACTAGATTTTCTCTCTCTTTAAACTAGTCCAGAAACTTCATAATATTTCTCAATCTAGTCATCCAATTTGAATTTTAACTTTTTTTTTACTCTGTTACTTTAATAAGCCCTTTTAGCTCCAATGGGGTTGAGCCCATTTTCTTCGTCTAGTTATAGGCCCGCTAAAACTCAAAAAAAGTCATATTTGCATTGTCTTTAGTTTCTTTGGGGTGAGATCGGTGTCTAGGATTGGCATTGCTTTTATTATCTTCTATACACATCGTGGTTTTTTGTTTTTCATTAAACTAATGGGATGATTCTTTTACGCTCGACGAGTAGCGATGAGCACTAACAATGAATATGATTAATTTAATTTATAAAAATTTAAATTTTAAAGGGTTTAACGTATAATTATAAATTAGTTAAAAAATTAAAGATAAATTATTTAAAATAAATGGTAAACTATACCAGTGACCATCTAACTATTGTTCATTTTCATTTTGACTAATATTTTTAGAATTTTGTCAATCATGTCACTCAACTATTTAATTGCATTCAATTAAGCCACTTGTCGTTAATATTTAACGGAAACGCTGATGTGGCAGTAAAATATTTGGTATAATTACACATTTGATCACTGCTACTTATATATTCTATCAATTTGGTCCTAATTGTAATAAATTAAAATAAATTTAACCCTCAAAACAAATGGTGCCATGTATAATAACCCAAAATTTAACTTTTTATTTTAATTTTAAAAATTACGGCTTGTTCTATATTTATAACAAAACAAAATTTATAACAAACTCTTTTTCTACAAAATTGAATAACTCAAGCAATAATTTATAATATTAAATTTAAAGCAAACTAAATTTAACGTCATTTTTTATATAGGCCAATCTCTTAGTGCAAAATTTTCCTGCTAAGTCCACCGAGAATCTTATTAGTATAAACTTTTATTAAAGATGGGCATAAAATTTTAAGTAGAAGATGAATTTTTAAAATTTTAAAGGAAGGTTGTGTCCAATGTTAAGGAAATATATGTCATATTTTTCTATTAGAAATTTATTGGATAAATATTTCTTAGCTTACAAGTTAGACTATATCACATTTTTCTAGTAGAACGTCATTTACAAATAGTAGTAGGATAAAAATTTTGTCGAGCAAACTTTATATGCATGGGCTAATCAATTATATTTTCCTCAAAACCAAAAGAGGTTATGGTATCATTGGCGGGATGCTTCTGAGAACTATAAATGTAATTTCTAGTAAAAAAATTGTTTGTTATAAATATAGAATTTTTTTGTAACTTTTAAAATCTTTTAAAATTAAAGATTTGAGGGTTAAGTTTATTTTAATTTATTAAAATTATGACCAAATTGATAGAATATATAAGTAATAGTGACAAAATGTGTAATTATACCAAATATTTTAACTGCCACATCAACTTCTTCGTTAAATATTAACGACGAGTGGCTTAATTGAATGCATTTAAATAGTTGAGTGCCCTGATCGACAAAATTTCAAAAATATTGGTCAAAAGTCACTAGTATAATTTATCATTTTATTTTAAATAATTTATCTTTAAATTTTTAACTAATTTATAATTATACTATGAGTCCTTTAAAATTTAATTTTTTATAAATTAAATTAATGGTGCTCGTCGTTAGTGGTACTCATCGTTGTTCGTCGAGCGTTGTAGAATTTTCTAAACTAAGGTGATTACAACGTAGTATTTGTTCTAAATACTTTTAACTATTTGACAATGAATGTTCAATAATTCTACTACAGTCGCTGGTGTTCGAATCCATGATCTATAGTAACAACAACGATTCATTTAAATACTAAAATAATTTGATTTGTACCATACTACATGTTTTGATTTCTTTCATTATAACATCTTAATAATGTAAATAATCAAAATATAATTTTTAAAGTTTAGTAATTAAAATAAAATAAAATAAAAATAATATTTGAGGTAGTTTTGCCATTCTTTTGTTTAGTTTTCTTTTTATTCAAATCTTAATAAAGATTCTTTCTATTTTGATTTATTTTTTTTCATATTGATTTTGTCTAATTTTTATGGTGCATTATTTAATTATGATAATTTTACGTTTCATGTTATTTTCATCACAACATACTTCATAATCAAGAAAAGTCAATGTTTTTCATAGACAATGCACCTTTTATAATAATTTATCGATGTATTTAGAATCGTTCACGGGTCAATACATTAGATTAATTCTTTCAATTTATATGCCTACATTAATGGCGTGTTTAGATTTAAATAGATACATGAAAATTAGTAATAGTTATTATTATTATTTTTAAGATAATGTTTTGAATTTATTTTATTCACACTGTTTAGGTTTTCATATTTGCAATTTTTTTTATGAAATTGAATTGATATACTAATTCCTGCCAGTTTCAATTTATTGTTATTTATTAAGTAAATTTTAAGAAAAATTAATCTATCATTATAATAATAAAGATTTTAGAAGTCACTAATTATAATTTAAAAAAGATAGATATATTTTATACTAAAATAATACTTATAAATTATATTTAAGATCTTAAATTTAAAAAGCAACATTGAATTATTTATACTTGAAGAATTAAAATTTAAGAAAACCTTAAAAATGTAAAAATGTATAGCAATATTATTGTTAATATTTTAGTAAATAATGATTAAGATAAAAAAATAAAACGA